AAACAGAAAACCTATGTTGCCAACGCTAACTCCACCTGGAGGCCATGCGTAGTGCACAGCATTGAGGTGCAGGTGGGTTGAAGGTGTGAAAAAAACAAAAATCTCATAACTCCAAGCTGGCCCAAAAAGTACTCAATCCCACCACTGGCCCAGCTGTTATCTGGGGATGCGTAATTGTGTCAAAACCTTCTCTTCCCCTTCAAGAGCGCCCCCCTAAAGCAGTTAGACGCCTCCCCACACATGGTCCTGGGCATCATCATTTTCCAGCTACCATCCATCTTCAGCCCACGATTAATTCTCTTCATTTCCGAGCACAGGCTATAAATCCTGGCACACTTAATTAATTTCACGGCCAACGCGGGGCTCCCGTAAAGCGGGGATTGTTCTCGCAAAAGCCCATATTAATTATGCTATTTTACAGCCATCTCATTGAAGCCTGTGTTTCATCTTTCATAATTACATTTTCAACAACAACAGGGGCAACAAAAGGAGTCTAATTATGGATTTGGCGGCGCACTCTCTTGTAATAAGTCAACGTTAGCATTGGGCCCGGGAAGCGGTGCTAAGGTGTTTTGACACAGAGCATCCGATGGCACAGTGGAATCAATGTGAGCCCCCATGTGTTATTATTGTTACTGTAACTGTGATTTTAGCTGAGCATCGTAATGCAGAACATATTGAAAGCATTTGGTGGCCTGCTGGTGTAAATCCTGTTGATGAAGTTAGAGGAGATTATTGTCACATTGAGGCTGCTGTGATCATTACTCTTCTGACGGAGCTCGTCAGCTGCTCTCCTGATGTTCAGGCAGCAGGATCCCCCCTCAAGTCAAGGCTTCATACAACACACAAGTGTCTCTCACATGCCCTAAGTGTGCCTTTACACACACAAACATGTTCCACAGATTAAACAAAATCAAGTATTAACCCTTTTCTTTTATGACACAGCGCTCAAACAGTCAAACCGGTAAATGTTCAACAGGTTTTTTATACCCACGCTCTGTCATATCCCCCTCTGCGCTCTCCCGCTGGTCTGTGCCACAGGTCACCGCTCAGTCAGGCTGGGTGACAGAGCCACGTTAATAGCCACCTACACACTTCATCCGGCGTCCAGCCTTCCGCCCACGCACTTCTGGAACAGAGCAGAAATAATATACTACCGCACTCATTCATACAATGCAGAGCTGCCATATTCACGCTGTGATGCATGGGCTGTCATGGCCGCCTGGTTGGTGGTAAAGTTGAGAGTAGCGAGTCTGCCATGATGACGGCTCGTCACCTTTGACAGGAATCTGCTTTTGGTCCTCTCAAGACAACAATTGAGTTAATCTGTCTGAGAACTGACACGGGTTTCCCAATTAGTCAGACGCGCATATGTCCCTTCCTTATGATATATTGTTAATTTCAAATTTTTGGAAGTGGTGGTCACAGAAAACAAGCAACCTGATGTCATAGCCTTAAAGGACAGATGCAAAATAATGCATCCAAATTCAGTTCCAACAATTAAAAGACTAATATAAACTTCAGATAAGTCTCTATATCCAGTTTTGCGTTATATGAAGCCAACAGATTTGATCACAATCTGATATCTTTGAATGGATCATGAGGTTATAAAGAGAATCTGACAATCCCAACAAAACAGACTCCAAAGTAACAGAGAAATTAATCTAATGTTGTCGATAATTTTTGGTTGGTATCTTAGTATCGCTAAATTGCAAGGGATGAATACTAAAGGTAATTGACAAAATATACACTAAAACAGCTGAAATGTTTGTGTAACAGTTCTAGGATGGATTTGGGTTCAGACATCCAACATATGGAGGAAGCATCAAGGTATGAACTCCAAGCACCAACACATGTAAGGGGTATCTTTTCTGAAGGCAGACAAAACCCCTCAAAGTTCATTTGTGATGGTGATGGTGGTAATAAAGGCTGCCTCCCTGACCTAACAGTGCAGCTATGTCACCTCTGATCAGTGGTGTTACAGTCCACCGCCGGCTAGTCCTTTCACTTCCTATTAGGCTCCTCACACCGAGGGTCTCTGAGCACTGGCATGGACCATAAGTCCTGTGACAGCGACCTTGAACATATATGTGAGTGTGTTCATCCATGTGCAACAATTACACTTGTGTGTGTTTGTGTGTGTGTGTCTCTTCCTCATTCCTCCACTCCTTCCTTGTCAAGGCCATCGGTGATCAGTGGAGGTTAAAAGTTACAAATCACCCCCTACTCCCCCAACTCTGCCCTCCAAACCAACCCCCCTACCCGGATCTCTTACCCCGTCCTCTCCCCTCCCCACGCGTCCCTACTCTCTCTCGCTCTCTCGCCTAGGCGAGATCCTCTGGGGGCCTTGCAGGTCTCATTCATATTTGGGGCCACTGCTCCTGTTGAGGGTCTGCAGGGGATCAGAGGCAGCGGAGGGCAATTACTCCTCCGCTTTAATTGGCATTATCATTTTAGCCGGCTGACAGAGATGGATCACCCGGTAGGACCCGACTACTGTCGACACAAGGAGCGGGGAGGAGGGCGGAGGCAAAGAGGGAGGGAGAGGGGAAGGTGTTAGTCCAGTGGGCGTGAGAGAAAGAAAAAGAAAATGTAGGTAAACACAGTAAGAAGGGTTGAAAATAAACCTGCTACAAAGATCAGCTTAAACAAATAACCCATACAAGCCAAGTGTGTGGAGGATTTGTGTGGTCTGGTTGCTCTCTTAGTTGGATTCAAGCCTTTATTAATGTGTGTAGGGTTTATTGTGATGTACATATATGTGTATGTGTGTGTGTATATGCATGGAAAAAAAGCCGATGAGGGGAAAAGAAAGAGGGGGCAGTGTAAGCCAGTGCAAAGCATGGCAAGGCTCTAACGAGCAGCATGGCCACTGCTACATAACTCAGGTCCTGTAAAGCTGTCACTGGAATTAAGAGGCAGCCATTATAGGTGCCCATACAAGTGCCTCAATGCAAAATACAAGTCTTTTTTTTCCCTCGGGCGAGCAGCGGTAGATAATTTTAGCTACTTAGTGAATCATCTTCAAAGCCGGAGTCAAGCTTCTGCAGCTCCTCCACTAAGTACACACTCTTATTTCCCTTTCAGCTGCTTCATTTGTGCGTCTTAAGTTCAAGTGCGCTTTCATTTCTTCTTTGCTTCTTTCGTCACAGGTCCCCCAATCTAAGAATACCCCCCGAGTCCCCAGAGGCTGAACCCAGCAAGATGCCAGAGAAAAAACAGTGATGGATCGATGAAAAATTATTATGAAGCTGTCCGAGCTGAATTATTGTGCTGTCTGTAGATAATCCCTTATTTGTCTCTTCCTGGCATCCAACAAAATCTGTCAGTTAGGCTCAAAAGAGCGAGGAACGGTTGATGGAAGATGATGAAGTGAGGGGACGAGGGAGGGGAGGGTGCGTGAGGGCATCTGCTCCCCACCTCTTTTAGGGAAAGAACATACTTGAAGAGAATGCTGTGCGCCCTCTCTCTCCCTCTCTCCTCCTCTTTTCCAGATTTGAAAAATGAAAACTATAAGGGAGACAATAATAAAAATAGCAGAATGAGTGGACAGGCCAGAGCAGTCCATTACTCACAGCTGCTTTGGGCTGCATGGTTAAAAATGTGCTGCTTGCTGCAAAAGCATGCATCACCACTGGCACAAAACAAATGGGCTGTCTCCAATGTATTTACCTCCAATTGTTCAAGCGTTTGTGGGGAGAGCTACGGCCTGTCCAGACAACTCAGACCTGTCCATCTGAGGGACAAGAGAGCGGGTGACCGGGAGACATGATGAGAGGGATGGTCGGAAGCAGGAGATGACACCGATACAGGAGAAAGGGAGTGAGATTAAGGAGAACCGAGGAGCAAGGAGTGATCATAACTTAATATGTTATGTTTAATACACCTGCAAATGGGATATGATGTGTCCAACTAGTCCGTTGGTGTACAAATAATATGAAACATGTCTATTTTGGTTTCATCAAGCAAAATTGGTTTGTTCAAGCTTCTCAAATTTGATCTCTTTTGCAGTAAAATGTCATTTTGGATCGGCAACCTTGACATGATTGGCTCCGTTGACCACGCAACAGTAACAAAAAAATAAAGAATTGAGAATAGGACAAGTCAGAAAGCTGCTGGTCTAAATCTTCCAGACTCAACAGAGAATATAAAGGAGATCAAGTATTGTGGTAAATGTGAAAGTCTTCTTAAAGCTTTCTGTCTGTATTGATTTTAGCGCCCCCTATGGACAAGGTGGTATCTCCTATCTCTTTCCTGTTTGTTTTGTGCATGTGTCAATTGTGTCTCTGACAAAACCAGTTTCATTCTTTCTCTTACCGAGTTATAACTCCTCACAGGAGCTTCAATGAGAGGTGATAAGGAAAAGTTAATGGTGGTAAATATGTTTGAAGTCATCCCTTTAACAGCGTGATGCTATTAATCTGTCCTCTTATTCGTCTAAAATAAGGTTCATTGACCTTTAGTGACAAGGAAATCCTACAAGTTCTCAGTTGTGTGTTTCTGTGCATGTGTTAGGCTACTCTTTGTCACGTCCGCTAGCACTTTCAGTGTATCTGTTTTGGAAAGTTTGATGGTTTTAAAAAGTGAGACGTAGATTTCACTCTCTATCAACAGAATGGAGGAAACAGGAGAAGCAAAAGGGCAGGATTCACATTAAAAACAAAAAAAATTCTACTTATCCCCCCCCTTCCTCATGCTATAACTTGAGTTTGGGAGCGTCCCTGGGAGGCTCAGACTAGAGACCGTCAATGGTGGGTAATAATTTAACTTGGCTGGATGTTTCAAGCACTTATCCCTCTATTTTCCATCATTATGGATATAAAGTGACGATCAAAACAACACTGAAGCCCTGCGGAGCTCAATGCCGAGGCCTGAGCTGCCTCTGTAGCACGACTTTACCGCTCAGCATCTCCCATTTCCTGGTGTGATGCAGCTGTGCGTAATGACAGAGCCCCACTCTTGAACGGCCCTTCTGATTAAGATGGCTCTCCACATCGGCCCTGTTTATCTCCAGCGCGGTCGTTAGCCGGGATGGGCCCCGCTAATGATGAGTAGTTTACAATATGGCGCTGTGGCATAATCGACCCTCCTGTCATCGGCTCGTGACGGAGAGGAAGCCACCCAGCTCCAGCCTGTAGCTCTTTACCCAGCGTCCGTCTGAAAGACAGCAGTTTTAGAGTGAAACGCTAATAAACAGAAATGAGTAAACATAGTTTTACACACAATTATCACCTGAAGTATGCCAAATGATGAGTAGATGAAAGAATGTGCTGGAGGTTATGTTATTTTTTATCTCCAGCACATTGGAAGCGAATTCGCGATTGAGATGTATGTAACAACGGCATTAGTGTTGTTTAAACAACAGTAATGCTGACACTGTAGATTTGTGAAACAGGTAAAATGTAAGAAAACAATAAAAAAAGCCAAAAGCGGTAATGAAACAGTCGTTTCAAAACGAGAGAAGTAGAAAAGAGAGAGGAAAGTGAGAGAAGAAAGATGGTTCTTTAATTTATGTGCCGCGTGGGAGAGAGTGGCAGTGATTCATGGGTTTGTTAGTCAATTGATAAAAGAGAGGAAATTTCTGAAAACATTCAGCACAGAGAGATATGGCCGCCATACATCACCTATTTGCAAACAACAAGGGCTAATATTTATCCATGCGAGGGGGTGCATACTGACCCCTTCGCACACTCATACACACACACACAAACATGACTCACACCTCATTATGACCTAATTAAGCCAAAAGAAAAGGCCTTAATTGGAAAGAAACCCTTAAAAAAACAACTAAATGGAAAATATCTCAACCCTCTATTGTAGCAGCGGACACTTTGTGCTGTTTTGGGGATATTTATTTGTTAAACATGGGTATGTAATCGCAGCATGTAGACGCTTTTAGTGATGTATGGTCGTGGTAATAGAAGTGGCTGGGAGAAGAGGCCCAGATAAGGGAAAGAGAAGAGGAATCTGGTGGGCTTGCAAGCTTTAGTTGAATGTACTGTACTTACTGGAGTCTATATGTCAGGGAACGACAGCAGAGTATATGTGCACGCTTACACACACACACACACACACACACACTCACTCTCTCTCCTTGTAATGTATTAGCTGTGTAATCTTTCTGATACATTGCTGTAGGCTGAGTCTTTCCCCCCGTCTTTATTCAGTCAACCACGTGTGGGGGAACTTTTAAATTGTCAAGGCTGAAGTATAATTATTTAATCCCCTGTGATCTATCATTAGTTAAAACGCCTGATCAACATACCAAACATCCCCCACACATTAAGACCCAGACATTTCATTGTAAGGCTAGTTTGTGCTTAGTGGGGGAGAAAAATCATGTTTCATTCACAAAAAAAAAAAAAAAACTAGATAGGCTTTCCACTATGCTAGCAACCATTTAATTCAACAAACATAGAAACAAATAAATAAACATGTAAATAAATATGGCTGCTGTGTGGGATGGTTGTCGGGTGTATGTGTAGACGTGCGTGTGTGTGTGTGTGTTGTGGATGTATTGGGGGCGTCTTTGTTGCGGCTCATAGTCCAGATGGATGACTTGTACGGGGGAGTGTATTTATTTTGCGGCGAGGCGACATCAGGAGATTTGTTATTCCCTGGCGTTGCCGAGTTTTTCACATTGCTCCACATCCCGGGGACCATATTTCATCCCCGCACCCCCAATCCCCAAACAGATTTATTTACAGGCTCTCTTCCTGCACATATACACCCCCCCCACCTCACCTCACCTCACACACACACACACACACAGTCACACTCACACACCTCCAACACATGCATACATACTGCTACAGACATATATACTCATGCATATGAGCTATAAACAGCAGGCGTGTTCAAGCACTGAGGACCACAAATACACCGTCTCTGAAATCAAATGTATGAACACACACAACAGCCATTTTTTATCTGTGTGCTACAGAGCTTTCTATGAGTTTCTATTAAGGATACTCATCAATACTGCACTTTTACCGTTCAGTTCAGGCTCCACTGTTTCTCCATGACAGGGTTATAATTGCTCTTATATTTTCACAAAGCAGGGTCTTCCTCTCAACCTGGAAGGAGATGAAAGTAAGGCACAAAATAACTGGGACTGGGACAAATTTGCAATAAATCCAAAATAATTAAAACACATAGTTTGTCCTGTTAGCTAGGTATGCTGGTTTTCAAATATAAGGGATGAGTTCATCTCATTATGTCATATTATTTGTGTGTGCTTTTGCTCTTGCTACACAACTTATCAACCACCATTAGCTTTGGATCTTAAGGGAACATCTACAAATTACTCCTCTACTTAATCCTTAAGAAAACACGGTGAACATTATGTATGGGTTTTTGTCTGCCCAGGGTTTTTGTACATATGTAAACAAACATTGTGAACTGTAATGGTGCTTTTTCATTCTTTTCCATGTCCAGTTTCTTGTCAGCAGGCAGGCAGTTTCCCTAAGAGAGGAGAAGACACACAGAGAGAAAAAAAGAAATAAAAGATAAGAGGTAACGGCAAGAGATCGGATGCAAACAAAGAGTATAAGGCCCAATCGGGAACCTCACTTTCCCCCTTTTCAAGAGGGAACCCGCAGCTTCAGTGTCTTCATAATAAGAGGGGGGATGTATGTGGTGAAATGCCAGGCACTCTGCTTAGAAATGAATAACCTGAGGATATGTGTGTGTGCGCGTGGGTGTGTGTGTCTGTGTAGTAAGGAGGAGGATGTTAGGGGTTCCTCGGCCCTGGGTCTCTCCCTATCTTTGTGAGTAATGATTCAGCCTGCCAGTGTGGTGGTGTCGCCCCATCTATATCCATTTACACACACACGCGCACATACAAACAAACGCACACGTACACGCAGGGAAGATTAATCAGACGGGAAACTGGGCAGGTGGATGGACATGGCAGCGGGCTGGGTTCATCCATTCAATCCTGAAAGAGACACACTGTAAACACACGAGGGGGAGAGCTTTAGGTGAACGACCAGCAGCCTCGCTGACAGCTCCTGTAACACACAGGAAACAAGAATATTATACTTTCATACACGCACACACACACTCTCTGTCATTGCTGCCCTCCAGGCTTCACTAAAGGAGAATATTTTATAGATGAAAGAGATGAGTATACGTTTGATTCCCTACAGGACGTATTTGAAAGTGAATACAGACAAAAGCTAACCTGTGTGTCTAGAGAGAGAATCCAACTAAATAGCAACACTTGACATGAAGAAACCCTTATATGATTCAATATAACATCCATTACAACCATTCAATTAAGAAAGGACATGATACAATAAGATAAGAGGCAATATGACGTGATTGGAAGTGTCAAGTTACAGTTTTACACTGAGCACATTTCTTCATATAAAGTCATAAAAAACTGGTTAATTTTGGATAAATAAAAACATATTCTTGTTATAGACTCCAAATGGTTAATCGTCTCTGTTATTCTGAGGCTGTCTTTCCGTAATTCTCAGGTCAGTAAATAAAAAAAGCATTACATTAGGTGATGTAAGTGAACATGAGCCCTGCGTAAACACTGCTCGTCCTGTGGCTTTAGAGTAGGCCGGGGTGTGGTCCAGTGGTCAGGGAAATGGCCGGATGACCTGAGCTATGCTGAGTCATGTCCCAGGTGAGGGATAGAGCTGCATCGGCCGGGCTCCGGGACGTGCACTTAACCTGCAGTAATTACTGGAAACAACACTGAGAACATGGCAACATGGAAGTTGTGGAAAGTGGCTCGAAGATTTCAAATTACTCTAAGCCTCCTGAGGCACGCTGCAGGGAAGCCTGCTGGTGTTGTAATGTAGATACTCAGGCTGTTTTTCTAACATCCCCCGGATTTTATTAGGCAGAAGCTCATCACTCTGAAACAACATGAAATAACAAATTAAGCATGTGCAATATATACCTTTTGTAATACAAAGACAATCATTTCTTACATACGGGATAAACATTTGACCTTGTTGCTTTTTTAGTGGGCAATGATCTTACAAAAAAGTAAGCATTATATAGGTAAGAGTGAATGGGAGGAGGAGAGGAGTAAACTAGAGGACGAAAAGCGAGAAATCAAGAGGTAGATGTGAAGAAGAAATGGGTTGAAGAAGAAAAGAGTGGAGAAAAGAGGAAAAAAGGGGCAAAGAGAGAGAAAGACCCTGCGAATGAAACCCAAATGGCTGCTAAAAATCATTAATCTTGTGGGGATCTGTGTCAGCGAGCGGCCGCGACACAAAGAGCTCTCGGAGCGGCGTGGAGAGCAGCTCAGTGACCCGAACCCAATTGGCTGAGAAAGGCCCACCAGGCTTTAATAGACTTTTGCTGATCCGACACTTGTTTGCTGGGAGCCACAAAGAGGCGATTGCAGGGGCTGACAGGGGCCTGCAGGCCCAGGGGCTCCCCTCCTGGCCCATGATAAATGACCCAGGGTGGGCAGGGCCAGGGCCAGGGCCAGAGGAGAGAGGGGTGAGAGAGCCGGGAGGCAAGGAGGTCACTCAGCAAAGGAGGGTGGACAGTGGAGGAGAGAGAGGTGAGGAAGAGAAGGGGAAGAGAAGAGATGTTTGATAAAGAAAAACGTCTTCTGAGTTACAACAGGTCCAGAGATTATGACATGTGGGGACGGCATCTAACAATCATGAGAGGGGGAAAAAAAAAAGGAGAAGAAGGGAGGTGGAAAGAGGGGGACCAAGGAAAGGAAAGAAACAGAGACTAAAGTTAAAAATGGGAAAGTGGGGATAAAAAAATGAGTGACAGGGACAGGGAAGAGAGAAGGACACAACATAAGAAAAGAGATATGGGAGGGATGGGAGAAGGAAGTGAGGGAGGGAAGAAAGCAGAGGGTAGAAAATGAGGAAAAGACAAGAAGAATAAAGGAATAAAAGCTAAGATAAAAAAAACAGGAAGGTAGAGCAATGAAAGGAAAAGAGAGAGAGGGAAGGGGCGAGCAAAGAAAAACAAAAAAGGAAAGGAAAAAAGAAGGAAAGGGGATAATACAGGGAAATTTAAAAAGGAAAGAAAAAGAAAGGGAAAGAGTGGAAAAAAACAGAAAGAAAAAGGAAAGAAAATGGAGAGAAAGCAAAGGAACAAAAAGAAAGGAAAAGGAGGAAGGAAACGTGGGCTGAGCAGAGCAAATGAAGTAAGAGGGAAAAGGTGAAAAGGAAAGGAAAGAAAAGAGGAATATAAAAAAGACATGATGAGAGTAAAGGAAAGTAAGGAGAGAAGGAAAGAGAGGTGTAAGGGACATGAAAGAAAGAAAGAAAGAAAGAAAGAAAGAAAGAAAGAAAGAAAGAAAGAAAGAAAGAAAGAAAGAAAGAAAGAAAGAAAGAAAGAAAGAAAGAAAGAAAGAAAGAAAGAAAGAAAGAAAGGTTTTGGAACAGCAGAGAAATGAAAGTAAGGAATGAGAAGAGGAAGGGTAGAGAAAAAAGTAGAGAAAAGGAGGAGGGAACCAAAGTAGCAGACAGAAGAAGAGAGGAAAGAGGTTAGAGGTGAAGACTTGATGCAAAAGTTGTTGCTTTGAAAAAGTATTAAACTCACTTCAGCATCAACTCTCACCCACCTCCAGATCGATCATGCTTACACACTAACACTGAACTGACCTGGGTCAGTCTGGTGAACAGTCAGTGAACACATTGTCTATTGTAAACTTTTAAAGATAACACAGCTGACAGGAAAATAAAAAGTCCTCTAAGATATTACACAGAGCCATTAGAGGCCTATTAAAACCCTCTCTTCACTCTTAGCTTAATAACACACTGTTGCTGTGTATGCTCGACTGTACATGACGTGCATTTTCCAGAATATTATATGAAGTGGAAATTTAATAGAAGCCAGAGACAGGGTTTGCTTTGACAGCTCCATATGCAGATACTTAGAGATGACATGAGACACACAGCATACTCTTCAGACTGACATGTTAATATCAGACAGTAACAGGTTCAGTCTGTGCAAAAACAACAATATGGTTTAAAATAAAGAGAGCCAGGACATTTCTTTCTACTCCTCACAAGAGTAAATACTGATGATTAAAATTGTAGTTACTTGTTTCTTTTGTGTTACACTTCCTTGTTGTTGGCTGAGAAAACACAGATGTAAATGTGGTTATGACCACAGAAAAGAGGCTTTAATTATATTATTTCTGCACTCTATCTGGTTCCTGTGGTGTCGCCTACATTCAGTGGTTGCACAGCTCCAGTTTATAAGACCCGATGTTATGCACAAGCCTCAGCAAAGAGCCAGCTGGAGGAAAGCCAAACTATTGTACATAGCATTGCAATTTACATTAATGAAATGACCACAGCAAACGGCAGATTTATTGTCCTTTTTCCTCTGGTTTTATGCCAGTACAGTGCACACTGACATTTATTTGTTGTTATATTTACAGCACGTCAATCAGAGACATCTAATCTTAGAAAAGGCTGCAATTATATCTTGGCCTCAACCATCATATTTTCCATCTCTTCTGCCTTCCTGTCATTTCAAAAAATACTAAATAAGTGATTTTTTTTTAAGTTGAAGTGCGTGCTGAATAAAAAAAGACTGCATGTCACTGATGATACACATCAAACTATTAGCAATGGGTAAATGCGCCACCAGAGGCGCCCTGTCACAAGAAATAAAACCTAATTTTCTCTGCAAGCACAACTACCTTCTGAGCGAGTAAATGTGAGTGTGGCTGCAGTGATAACACAGCTGGAGAATTATGAGTGTTAAAACAAGGCCTGTGCACGAGAAGGAATACATACATGAGGTTTATTTTTTACAATCCAATTGATGCTCAGTGTAAAATCAATGTTGTCACTTATTCATGAGATCGCCAGATCTGACTCTTATCTCACCTTTTACTGGTCACCGAAAAAAAAAAACTCTCCTCGGTCAATTATCTCTGATGGTTGTTAGCTTTCTCCAGGGGTCTGAAGGGCCTCCGCATGTTTACACAGACGACAGGTCTTAATAATACATGATTTCACTGAGATAATCGATCAGTCTGAAGTAAACAAGAATGGCTGAGTAACTTTAGAGCTGAAGGCGCGAGATGTAAGATCAGAGATCAAATGAGAGGAGGAATTTTGTTAGAAGTTAAAAGTGAGCCTTTAAAACTCATTTTTAAACGCTATTAAGTGTAATTATAGGCCAGAACACGTGCGTTTGGATAAACCGAGACACTTATTATTAAAATAGAACCCAAAGAATTGGTTGTGATAATTTATTTGGTCAGAAAGTCACATTTCCTGGAGGCTACACTTTTAAAAATGAATATTAGCAGCAAAGATTTTCTGGTACATGACGTTTTGGACAGATCCTGAAAGCTTCCTTCTGTGAAATCATAAAATGCAGCTTCAATAGGTGTGTGCCAAAATAAGAGAAAAAGAATTAAGCTAGATTCTACATTTTTATCCATTAGTTCTCCTTGTTAAATGTAATATGAAAGCATTTTAAAATATGTCGTCGTAAGGAGAAAGGTGACGCGTAAAACTTCTGAAGCCGGAGCTGAGCGAGCCCTCTTTTCTCCTTTCTCGCTCCTTAGTCAAAGCGCATCAAAGCAGGACTTCCGAAAAGCCTCGTCTCTCCATCTCTCACTCCGCCTGTCAGGGGCCTCCCAGTTCAGCCACTTCCCATTCTGGACTGCAACGTATCCAGGAACGGTCGGGGGACCATTACAGCTGATCATTACGCACGCCAAAGAGCCATAAGATCAGCAAATAAAACCAACTGTTTGCCTCAGAGCGGGACACGGTCTGGTTTTGGCTGTGAAAAATAATCCTTGTAGTGAGCACATCCTCCCATACAGAAAGTAGTCTTAGTTCACGCAGATCCAAGCGCTTCCAAGTGCGTGCAGCCCGGCCTCTGGACAGTAGGTGCATGTATCTGCGGTCCTGGAGCAGAATAGAAATCCATATTTGTTAGAGGAATCATGTCTCTTCCTGTGATCATCCATGGGCCCCCTGTGTGAAAGCATCGGGCCTGCTGCAGGTGTGAGATGTGAGCTGTGGGGAGCTGTGCAGCCGCTGCAGCCTCCATGCGTCAACTGTTAAATGTAACATTTTAAAGGTGATTTTATTTCTGTTATTCATTCCTAAAATCCGTAGGATGGGACTCTCATTAAGGACGAATAAGCAAGCATCAACACTTTTTTTCGCTGTCCATAAGCACACGGATCACTTAATAGATCATTAACCAGCGATATGCTGCTGACATGGACGCTTTTTTACATCTCGTCTCTCCATTACAGCGCGTTATGACCGAGGGGGGAGAGCCGCCGGCAGGCCTGCCGCGATCTATTAGACGCTGGACTCGGGCTATATTAGAGAGCATTACGACCTAATGGGGCTGCCGTCGGGTCGGCCTCGCAGGGAGAGTTTTTAGAGCAGCTCGACGCGGCACGACACGGCACAGCACGGCACGACTCGCTCGGGGCGCTTTCAAAGTTGGAGCCGAGAAATAGAGAAGCTTGCCTGCAGTTGTAGAGAATAAAAAGAGAGCTGTAACTTGAACGCTACCTGCACCTTTTGACAGTGAATTAGGAAAAAAGTTAGGATGAATCAGCATGCAGCTGTCTCAGGGACTAACCCGCTAAACTTCAGAAGTGAAAGGATTTTAGTAGCTGAAAGAGTGATCTTAAAATACCCTAAAATTCTAGTAAATGACCCTGACGTGCTTTTGTGCCAAAATAATTATGTTAGTGCGTAAAACAATACGGGGAAAAATTAACTTAGTTCTGATCTTAAATAATTATCAGTACAAAATGACAGACAGGTAAGTGTTACTCATAAATCATTCTGGATCTTGATGCTGCAGGAAATTGTTAACAATCTTTAAAATTATTATTTCTTTCTCTCTGTGTTTCTGTTTTTCTGTCTTTTTTTAAAGTCAGACTTCTGGCCAAAATGTGGCCCAAAAATTAACCAAACCATACTCTGAATTGCGTAAAAGGAAATCCAAACTAGATCATGTTCGGATAATAAGAGTGAAAGTGTTTGTAATATGATTTATGGCACTTTGGATTTAGGGTTCATCCACTGCTGCAAACTGATTAAGGTTTTAACCCAAACAAATACGCCCTTCATTATCGGCTCTCATCTCTGGCAGCCTCCTCTTCCATCGTGCCTGATCAATAGGATGTGTTCGCGGCTGAACTGAAGCGTGGATATGAGCTGGAAACGAAATGATAATCCAATCGATCCTTCCAATTGACTCATTTACAAGCAGTTTCTTTTAGCAGGGAAGCGAGACATTTACTCACACTAAATTCTTTTCCCCCGCTTATTGGCAGGCAATTAAAAAACAAATCAGATCAATTGTGCATTTTGGAGCATCTGATTCTTTCATTTTTTACAAACTACCTGTTAGTGTCAGAGAGGTGACCAAACACGTGACACTGTGTAGTAATGTGGCACAAAAGACGCAGATTTATTGCGCGTAAGTCATAAAATTATGATGTGACATTAAATGTAAGAAACCAGCGCAGTGAGAGAAATTTGAAGCGCAGAATAAAAAAGGCAATCTATAGAAAGACAAGGACCTGAGTGGTGTCACAGGTGCACGTGATGTCCACGCAGGGGCAGCCTTGAGCCTGTTTCTGCTCCAGTCCGAGTGTCTGTGATGCTGCTCGTTGGAGAAGAAGTTCTGAGCCAAGAGGAGCCTGATGAGGGGATCTGGGAATAATAACAAGCTCCAAACAAACTTTACTTTCCCCCAGAAAAAAAATACACTCTTCACAGTACCGTAATGATTATAAAACAGGTTACACAACTATAACACGCAAGAGAGCTGCGGTCCGGTCCAAATCACGAGTTTAACACAGAAAAAAATCACTCCACTTCACTTTTTTGGATTGTAAGAACGCAAATAATGGAAAAATATCACATGATCTTTGATTATGATTATCTGGGGGATATGATACAGTACAAACTAGAGGACCAGAGTGTGTTTATGACTGTAATAATAGTGTTTTATCACGATTAACTTAAGTATCCTTGCCCAGGAGAAAAGATTTAAAATTGTTTACTGATCACCTTTACCTGCCGAGAAACATAAACTTAATGTGAACTGACATAAAACACTGCAATGGTTGTTATGTCCAAAGAGTAGTGCATAGGTAAGGGAGTCTGTGTTGAGTTTTTAAGTATCTTTCCATAGTAATTCAAGTATTCATAAGTGCTTTGAAACATATGGAGTCAGCCAGCTGCCATGAAAGTGTCAGGGAAATAAGGAAGTGCACGTCTGATATTCCCCATGACCCCTGTTATATAAACTGAAAGTTTTAGTTTTGCACACTTCTCAAGTTTATGAGATTATCGAGGAGTGTGATAAAGGGGGTTTTTAACTAAATAATCTCTCTGAATTGGATGTTAGAAGTCACTCTCATTATTTTCATCAAGGAACAGTCGAGTGAGGACGCGGAGCGGAGCGTAACGCCGCGGAGTGTGTCCATAATGTGGAGGCATTTCTCCTCCACTTTCCTCCCACCTTCTGCTTTTAGGGAAGTCGGTCAGCTGACTGTCTGTAGCTGTCAAGACTGAGCCGAGTGCCCTCCTCCTCCTCCTCTCTGCTCTCATCCTCCTCCTTCTCCTCCTCCTCCTCCTACTTCTCTTCCTCTAGTTCAGCGCAGAGTCCCGTTCCCATTGGAGAGCTGGGCGCACCGGATCCAACCCTTTCTGCGCGACGTCACAGTAGGCTATAAGGATCGAGCGCTGGCAGGCTTCGAGCGCAGTCTGCTGGATACCACAGAGTGGGAGAGAAAGCTAGAGAGGCGAGCCTTTAAATCTCTGCGGTGCAGAGCTGGAAAGCTGCTTCTCGGCGAAAATCAGACGCCCTATTTACTCCGCTTGTTCGCTCCTGTTGTTTTTTTTTCCTGGAGAAAAAAGGGACTTACTATCAAGAAGTTGCAACGAGGACTGGTTCCCGTCTCAGCGACCAGACGTGGTATTTCCTTCACTATTATTATTGTTATTTATGCTGTTTTTTTTGTGAATGCGCTTCTACTGAAGGGACTGTGATTTTACTTTTGCACTGAGACGCATTGCTTTCTACCTCCTGCCTGGTCTCGCTGCCAGATTATCCCATCAGAAGTAGGCTACATGACGCAAACCGTGCTCACAGCATTAGTCTGAAAGTTTTTCCTCCACTACTTTTTTTCTTTTTCCCCCTTTTTTTCCCCCACCGAACACACGGTGTTTCATGCTACAGCAAGTCTGTGCGCAACGGTGGAGGAGCCCAAAGAACTATTGCATGAAACAAGAAAGGAGAGAAGAGACACTGATTAATAAGTCAGTTTTTGCGACACTCGCATATCTGCAAAAGAGTCGCGAGAGCAACATGAGCGCAGATATGAACATGGGCCCGGAGCTACCCAGCAGCCCTCTGGCTCTGGAATATGTCAATGATTTTGACCTGATGAAGTTTGACGTGAAGAAGGAAGGCCTGGCCGGGCTGGAGCGCAACGCTGTGCGCCAGTGTAACCGTCTCCAACCCCAGGGCTCAGTGTCCTCCACTCCTATCAGCACACCTTGCAGCTCGGTGCCCTCTTCGCCCAGCTTCAGTCCCACGGAGCAGAAAAACCACCTGGAGGAGCTGTATTGGATGCCGAACAGCGGGTACCATCAGCAGCTGGACCCACAGACCCTGTCCCTGACCCCAGAGGACGCAGTGGAGGCCCTGATTGGAGCCACAGCTCACGGCCATCCACCACCACCACACGTCCAGCAGCAGCTGCAGCAGCAAGGCGCCTTTGAGGGCTACAGGGGCCCGCATCACCACCACAGCCACCACGGCCACGGCCAACAGCACCACCATCCATACGCGGGGGGTATCCCGCACCACGCTGATGAGCTGTCCGGGCACCCAGGCGCGCACAACCACCCACACAGCCAGCATCACCATCACCACAGCCAGGATCCTGACAGCCCGTCCCCAGTGTCCCCAGAGTCCCACCAGCCGCTCCATCACCACCGCCACCATCACCACCACCATCCGCACGGCCACCTGAGCCAGTCCGCAGCGCACCACGGCTCCGGGGGCGGACTCAACGTGGAAGACCGCTTCTCCGATGACCAGCTGGTGTCCATGTCGGTGCGGGAGCTCAACAGACACCTACGGGGATTCACCAAGGACGAGGTGATCCGCCTCAAGCAGAAGAGGCGGACCCTGAAGAACCGAGGCTACGCGCAGTCCTGCAGGTTCAAGCGCGTGCAGCAGAAGCACGTGCTGGAGAACGAGAAGACGCAGTTGATAAACCAGGTGGAGCAGCTGAAGGCGGAGATCAGCCGGCTGGCGAGGGAGAGGGACGCCTACAAACTCAAGTGCGAGAAACTGACGGGCTCGGGGGCCAATAACGGGTTCCGCGAGGCTGGCTCGACCAGCGACAACCCTTCATCACCAGAGTTTTTCATGTGAGTCTTCATCGCCTTTTCTTGTGAACAAACTTTCCCCCTCAAACCCCAGAAACGTTTCTTTCTCCACCAATGACTGATGCGCAAAAGTACACCTCCCATACTGTTTATGATTATACTAATAACAGTAACAATTATATTCATATTAGAAGAATAACCATCAAATAGTATTCTCATATATACTCATCTCTCCATCCACGTGTCAGCTGAGATACAAAGAGCAACGTAGAAAGTCTGATCAGCAGCATCTTTGTAGATTAGTTGCTTCAAGTAGTGAAGAGACTTTTTTTCTTCTTCAGAGAAGAGGATCGGCTGATGAACTTTTCATTTTTTGTTTTTTTGTTTGTTTTTCAAGGCTTTGAAATTCTTTGTAAGTAATGTGGGGATGTTGCGAGGCAGTTGTCTTGTAATTTTGTGTCTCCTGAAAAAAGATGACATTGTTATAAAACAAGTAGGCCTCTGCTGCCTGCAAATACACTCTAACAAGTGGGCCCTGAAATCTGAGGATAAGAAAAAAACACACACCTCCAAAAAAGCAAGACTTCACTTCTTTATGCAAATTTCACTTCTGTCAGCTAGAACCCGTCACAGTGGGTAGGGAAAGGGTGAGGACATTTATGCAACATCTCATTGATTTATTGCCTGCTTGGTTATATTCAAATATATATTGAAACAAAAAAATCTGCATTAAATATTAATCCTGCATGCTGGACATGTACGGTAATTCTATTTTGTACTTTCATCTTCTCGTGTATATTAAGAGCATGTTGTTGATCTGCGCTTCTCCATAGTTTTTTTGGGGGGTTATTAGAGAAATGCAGCGGGGACAGAACAGCAGGACTGCCGGTGCAGTATCATATGGTGTGGTGTTTTTTTTGTTTTTTGTTTCTTTTCTTTTTTAGGGGCTTGTAAATATTATGCAACCGCAAAACTGCACAACAAGATTGAGGAGGCTGGTTTGAACTTCTTTCTTTCTTTGAGTTGTGTTTTTATTCCATTTATTTTTTTTTTATGATTTTTTTTTTCATCATTTGGGGGGTTTTTGATCAAGAGAGGAGTACATTTTATTTTGCATTTTAAATACAGTAAAACTTTGTGTGTCAAGTGCACTTTTTTGGATGATGATTTGAAAAGTTTTCATTTTGAAATTTGTGCAGACCTCCCTCCAGGAAGACATACTATGATTCTATATATTGTGATATTATTCCAAACAGGCCCGAGTGCAGAGTTTCGAAGAAGTATTTGGACACGTGTTCCGCGAGGCTGAGGAGACGAACATGTGGCCACAATATTATTGGAGCCAGATTGCACTGAATAATAGGCTTTTTACGCATGAAGGCGAGGTTTCTGCATTCTGGCACACATTACGTGGCTGAATGCTCGCTGTCTTTTTAATTCAACGTGATTTTTGCGCCACTTCTTCAGAAAAGTGCAGTCACTTTTTTAAACAAACAACATTAAACCCAAACTAAAGCGTATTCAAATTGGAGGCCACCTGTAGAATATCGTATAAGTGGGGCCTGATATTGATATTAATGTTTATATTTTTACAGTATGAAGATCAACATCTGACTTTTCAGGGGTTTTCTGTAGATTCATATTTAGATAACACAAAGTGTAACTTTTTAATGCTCTATGTTTTCCTGATTTTTTTCCTGCCGGTCAGTAAAAAAGGGGACTCAGGTTGTGCAAATTCTCAAAATGAAAACAGTTGTGTATTTTATGTAATACGTTTGTTTATTTTTCGTATGTTTTTATTATTATTCGATGATTCTGGTTCTGCTGGCCAGATGCATAGTTAAAGTTTTTATTTTAATGATTTAAATTAACAAACTGTCAGATCATATCGAATAAGCATGGTGCTTGCATTTGAAACTATTGTTGAGAAGTCATGCATTTAACAATCTTTGTGTTTGTTTTTTTCTTTTTGTTTTTTTCTTTTTTTGTTTGATACTGATTCAACTGTGTTGAAATCGAACTGAAACTGCAGCAGCGGGTTGTTGTTTTGTTTTCACCTGTTCAATGTATTTTGCGATGATGGGGATAAATTTTCAATCCTGTTTATATGAAAATGACAGTTAAACACTTAAATTTGAACTGTTCCATTCAGGCTGGTTTCTGTTTTGTCTTATTTTTGGTTGTTTTTGGAAGAAATTGTTTCCTATTTTGCTTATTAAAGTCATTGAAATGGCAAGAATTACCTCTCAGACTTTTATTTTGAAAAGGTGTGTAGTATAATGGACGCATTAGGCAGGAAGTATCCATAAAAACACAATATTGGCAATAATTAGGTATCACACACACACGACACTAAGAGTTTGGGGAATCTGTGAAAAACTTTAGGGGGGAAAAAAAGGTTTGCGCACTGATCTTTTGTTTCCCTGTATCCACTTGTCCTTGGCCTTTACTTGATTTTCAGACTTGAAAATGATGTGGAAAGCTTGGATCAGAGCCCACTGGCCCTGCTGTGATTAGATCACCGGCTCTGACCGTTTATGTGGCGCTGCAGGGAGATTCCTATACGCGCTGCTTGCCTGCTGCTCTCTGCTTGCATGCTGACTCCTGCAGAAACCCCACCGTCACGAGAGCGCACGGTAAATGGAGATCTTTGACCTTGCAACACACCGAAGAAGAGTCGAAAACATCACATTTACATTCACCGGTAATGGATACAAATTTGTGTGTGTATGTGTGTGTGTGATTTTGCATGTGCAATACGTCTTCTTTAACTTTTCTTCTTTTAAGTCCACTGCGCAAAACCAGAACTGAGTTTAACAATAATCCCCTGCGCGCGCCTCCGGGGCTGATCGTTTTATGGGTAACATTAATGGAATTTATGATCGCCATGTGTCAACACGCTTACAACATTTTTGGAGACTGTTCCCTCTAAACATGTGCATGCAAATATTCAAGCTCGATATTAAGTTTAGGGATTTTTAGCCAAATCTATAAATGCCTGTGAAGCGTTTCTAATCAAACAAATACACGAGCAATACAAACACTCAATCTCTTAATCTCCATGTGACGATTCAAAGAAGAGGAGTATCTCGACCGGGTCTAGAGTTTCTGGTGTCAGAACATTATCTGTCCCATGTCTGCACATTCTCAAGGACAGAACCGCTACGCACAAAATCAACCAATGAGGCCCGAGGAAGGCGAGGCTAGTTTATATTCTCTCTTTCTCTCTTCCCCTCTTTCTCTTTCCCTGCTTCTACAGCCTGAGGGCATGAGTGCAGTTGGGGTGAACAAGTAGAAGGAGGCCCATATTTACAGTTAGGATGAGAACACAAAATCTCACAAAAAGCTGCTGTTTTTTGTTGTGTTTGGCACATCTTTTAATCTTCTTCTTGTTTAGTTTTTTTTTTTTTTTTTACTGAGAAACTGCTTTGAGAGTAAGGGACTGAGTGAGGTTTGAGAAAGAGGAACCCAGCCTCGGTGTATTATATCATACAGTGAGTCTGGGTATGATATTAAGTCTATTATGACTTTAAAACTCAACACAAATGTTGACGCTCAGCTGGACTCACAAGAGCGGGAGCCTGAGATCCATCTGCAGAGAAATCAAACACTGAACCGCAATCATGTCCATTTAATGTTCGGAAAGCTGAAGGAAGTATTTAGAAAAGAGCCGCCTTGACTCACTCGCTTATTCTTCTTGAAAATCCTGAACTTATTAGTGACAAAATCAATAATAAACAAAAAGACAAACTGATCAAGAAAGGGGCATCCCGGTCACCAGAGTGAATTTTAAGGAGGTCAACTCATGAGACAAATTCACACCTGAAGTCTTGTTTGAGCAACTACATGTTGTTGTTGTTTCGTGAGCAAATAACCTGCATTTCCATGTGGTGATATAGATACTTTATATTTTCAAAGAGTTACGTCAAAAGAAAGTAAAAGGAGAAATCAGCGCAGGGGGAAAGTGAAGGAAAACATCAGCCACCGCTCAGCAGAAGAGCCAAGGACACAGTGACCAGGCGCACTGTAATGATTTTAGTCTCCGATCACACATTCACGCCGCCCCCCCTTCCTACAGAGATCCTATCTGCATTAAGCCCGCTCTGCCAGCCTCCAGCTCCGGCATCAGCTCCAGCTCCAGCAGCAGCAGCAGAGGGGGAGAGCTGAGGCACAGGAGCCCCAAACCTGCCGAAACTCCTCATCACACTGGACCCAGGCGATAGACCGAGCCTCGCTGCAGGTATTTTAACACCGCTTGAGTGTGTTTGTACTGTCTTTACCTGCTCCATACTTACAAACCAAAACACAGTTATCTTATTTACATCATTCATACTTTGTACGAGTGTATGTGCTAATTCTACGACTGCATGTACTCCATTCACATTTTGAGGACTAAAAACTCCTTTATGGTTTTTATTTACATCTGTGTTTTCAACTTGATTTATGACACTTTGATAAAATCATATTCTCACTTTCATTGGCATACACACACACACACAAACACGCTCGCACACACACAAAAAGGCCAGCCCACCGCCACACCGGCAGTCCATTGACTTTCATTGGAAGTGACTTCCCTGCTGCTCTAAATCACAATGATTTCCCAGGGAATTAGAGCAGGCTTTTCCCAAGAGACACACACACACACTCACACACACACACACACACACACACACTCACACGAGAACATTAACCAGTTACTGTGAGGGTTTTTCAGAGTGTGTGTGTGTGTTTCTACTACAGTGTTGTCCTTCCAGAGCAAATACAAATACAATGAGGATAGGGAATAAAAGAAAATGTTGTTTTTAGTCGTCTTTGTCTATTTATGTTTCAGTTAAAGTCGTTGAAAGGTTTCAGACGCTCAAAGGAGCAGCTGATGTTTCCCAACTGTTCGCTGTGCCTCATAGGTGTGTTTGTGAGTGTGTTTGCACGTGTGTTGGAATCTCACACCTTTCAGAGCTCTGCTGGACACGAGTCAACGGCAATCAGTCTTGTCCAGATTCTCCTTGTCTCTCCCTTCTTCAGCTCTTCACCCTCTTCTTCTTCTTCTTCTCTTTTAACTGCACACTTTTTGACTAATAAAAAAATATATTTGTTTAATAAAACCATCTACCTGATTTAAAAAAAGCATACTCCATCCATGAGAGTGATTTTAAAGCTTTTTGTTCATCGCTGAAACATAAAGCGTTACAACCTGACAGGCTTCCTTCTCCGTCAAAGAAGAAGCCGCAGATTTCTGCTGACCTCGTCCACCACAGCCCCTAACTGTGATGAATCCGTACCTTCATGGTCACAACCAGTCAATGGTCTGTATGATGGATACCTATGGCCAAGGCCGCAGCGAGTCGATGAAAGTGACCCATGTGTACATCCCTGCTTCCGGGATGTGAAACCCAATTCCGGGTGGGATTGATCCATGTCTGGCCACTGCGGGGATAAGGCCAGAGGGAGGAGATAAGAGCAGACACCGAGCGGTCAATGATACCTTTGAACCGCCAACCTCTAATGCAAACAGGACACTATAATGCCCCACACCACACCACCACCAAGAGACTTTTAAAGGTATACAAATTATACTGCGCAAAGACAAGGAAGAAATCTGAGAGAGGGAAGTATTTTAGCAGCGATGTTATAAAGTAATGGTAGTATATTAAAATAAAACACATTTTAAAAGATTTAAGTGCTATTAGATATTAAAATAAAGGTTTTCATATCTCTGAAAATCTCCCCTGTAAATGTTATCATCTGGTATTTATGTGTTGTAGATGCTCAGATAAGAACTAAAATTAGCCCTGATGAAGGCTATAGAGGCTAGGTAGCTGAAACTTGTCAGGTACAAAATGTTTTTTACCTTTCTGGCCTTCATAGATAAACTGTTTTAGAAATTTATCACCAACAGGCCAAATGATCCTCTTTTGTATAAAATCAACTGGTTTATCTCTGACAGTGCTTTTTACTTGCAGGTAAGACACTGATATGTAGAGAAGCAAGTTAGCTATTCAGGATGCTGGAGTTCACAGTTTTTCAATCATCAAGAGAAATACCAGTGCCTCAAATTTCCATTTTCAGTCAATGAACTCTTCATCGTTTCACAACAGAAATCACAAGGTGAGATTAACTGAGCACATCAAGCTTGAAGTTAGTTAGAGCCAAAACAATGAGGTCCAGTTCACAGAGAATTAACCGACTTCAATATGACAATCAATGATCGAGTAGTTCAGGGACCGAAAATCGAAAAACATCTGCTCCAAAATTGAAGATAAAGTAAAAATTTATCTTTTTTGTTTGTTTGTAAATTAACGTCCAAAATATTTGTTTGCTTCATTTTACGAATGACCATCAAATCCAATTATCTTAAATATATCTTATACATTTTCCAGTCACCAGTACACTTCAGATATGTGCTGTACTTCAGACCAGTGTATTAACTCTGTAAAGTACCCCAGTTGTCTTGCCCGAGTGCTGTCGTTGTGCTGTATCATCACCACCCTGTGTGCGACGCTCTGGCCTGTTGTCGCCCTAAGAAGTGAAGTAAATAATTGAATGGATCCATTAATAAATAAAGTGCAGGGGGGTAGGAGCGGTGGAGGAGGAGGAGGGGTGGAGAGGAGAGACGGGAGAGATGGGAGAGATGGGTCACTCATCTTTACAATCACCATGAAGGGAGTGGCATGACTGCAAACACGCCGCCACTTCTCCCTCTCTCTCTGAGGTGTCTGGACATCATAAGCATTAGCTTGTAGTGAACTCTGACTCTGAGCTCCGAGCAGGATGTGGAATTTAAACACATTTCCTCTCTGATCCGCGGGGACATGGTTACTTCCTGTAAAACAGGTGGAGGGAGGTAAAACCACTGCCAAAGTCTACCTTCAACCCATCAAAACAGTTTTACTGGAGGCTTTTGGTCGATTCCAGTCGGTGGGTGTTGCTTCTACGTATTACAGCTCTTGCCAGGATAGCTGGAGTGGAAAAGCGAAAATGAAGTTGCGGTTTTGAACCTTATAGAATTTAAGAGGATTCATCATCAGCTACTAAACGCTGCAGTATTTCTCCGGGAACGTATGTTTCCTGTTACAGAATATGCCTTTTTTTGGGCGGATGACTTTATTCTCACTTGATCTTTCCCCCTCAAGAACATCAATATTGCATGATCATTTCGTATTCATTTCTGCCTGTTTTATTTTTGTGTTGTTTAAGAAGCAAATGAGGATAATACTCAGAGATAAAAATATAATTACAGAGTTTAAAGCTCCCCCACGTCACAGCTCTCACATGCCGACTGACTATACTTCCCCTGTCTATACTAATACCCTTTTTTCTGCTCTCTTTCTCAACCATTCAAACCCATTCTCACATTTGCTCCCTCATTCCCCCCTCTTGTTTTCTCTTTTCTCCCGGCCCTTCTTTTTTATTTTACTGCCTGATCTCTATTTAGATTTCCTCGTTTGGAGTTGCCACAACGCTCCCCGCTGCCAACATCTGTAAGTGGTTTGGAGGCAAGAGACACTATGGAAAAACATCAAAAAATAAAAAAAGGAGCAGAGCTGTGCTCCACTAGCAGCTTTAGACTGAACAGAGGCTGTGAAAAAGGGATACAAACTGCTCTGGGATTGGAGGCACACGCAGGCTGTAGGCCGGGTCCTGTTTGACTTGAAAATACAGAATAAAATTGGACATGGAGGGAGATACAACATAAATACAACACTTGTGTACACTCCACTCAAGCTTAGGTGGGTGGGGGTGGTGTGTTGGACTTCTTAGGACCCCACAGTTTGGGGTTTTACTGCGGATTGACCTCAATCACGTGTCAGGTTTTAGGTAGATTGGACTTAAGCTGCAGCACTTTTAAAGAGATTATGTTATTGTATGAGATTAGGGGAAGTAGATACATTGAAGGGAGCTAATGAGGGGTTTCTCCCCTCCCCAGCTGCCAGCCCTAATTCAGTGCTCACTGTCCTGTTGATAATACACACTACAATAGTATTACTGTGGCATTAGAGGCTTTACAGGGAGAGCCACCTTGTTTACAGTGTGGTAGAGGTTCAGATGTTTGTGTTTTGCTCTTGTGTGAGTGTGCATGTGGCTGCTTTTTAGGAGGGAGAGCGAGAGAGAATGGGGAGTTTGTGTGTGTGTGTGTACAGTAGGGTCTCATTAGGTAATGAGGATGATTACGCTGCATTAGGTGGTGGAGGAGAAGAGAGGCAGCAGCCACAGGGTGGGGAGAGGGGAGAAGAGAACATGTGTCTGTGATTTGCGGCATAAGCACATACCATTTAATTGACACAAGCTCTCTCCGGCTGCCGATTGGTGCAGAGCTGTCCTCTGTGCGTCTGCTTGGCCTGCTGTCCTTGACTCGCAGGGCAGAGAGACAGATGTGGTGTGAAAGAGGGCGGAGAAAAGAGGGGAACGTACAGAAAGAACGGCGAGGTCCTGAGCTGAAAGTGCAGAGGGAGGTAGAGAGTGGAAAATTGGACGCGTGGAGAAGTGTTTAGTAGGTCAGACAGTCGTCGGTTTTGATGGAAAGGTTTTCGTCTGGGAGTCCCCATGGCAGATAAGTTAGGTAACGCTGTCCTAGAGGAGTAATGGAGAAACAGCGAGGGCATCACCTAGCACACTGGAGCAGTTGGCTGGATGTGTGAAGACAGGTTTCCCTTTGCATGAAGCTGCCCTCTCTTTTTCCCCTTCTATAAGTAGGCAGGTATTTTTACCCAGCATAAAGTGCTGACCCAGTCTCAGGTAATTACACCCCTGTTGGGCTTTGGCACAGACATGTCAGGGTGGTGCTGAGTGCACCTTACACCCTAGCTATGGGTAAACCACACTTATCTCGCTATTTACAAGTGAATATAGAGCCCCGCGCCACATGAGATACAGGAAGGGGGGCATACCTTGGCAACGGGAAGAAACCTTTCTCCTGGCAGGGGCCCACTGACATCCCATCCTCGATCAAAGAACACAAAAAAGGACACAAAAGAAATGAAACTGTACTCTGTGTTTATGCAGAGGGTGTAATTAAAGAGTGGAAAACAGCGGCATAAATACTGAACCGAGGGATTCTGGCTCGTGTGTGGTACATTTCCTGGCAGGAATTCAATCCAATAATCCCTAAGAGGGTTAGGCATGTTCTAATCACTTCTAACATAATAATGTTGAATGATCATGAATGATGCATATCTTTCTTGAGAACTGTTTTCAAAAGAAACAATGGGGCTATTTACAAGTCAGGATGTGTTGATGCTTCAAAATGATTTTAAGATGCACTGCACTGACTTTCTTGTTTTTGTACACAGGTTTGAATGACTTAATAATATAATACTGGTGTAAAATCTGTCCAAACATTCAGTTCATAAAGGTGTTAAAAGCCTGAATCAAAGACTAACACAACCTGAAGGAGTTTAGGCTGAGTTATGTTTTATTTTCAGGCTCACTGCGAAGACTTCAAACTCACACCAAGCGCCAGTACAATAATTTTCGCGACTGAATTATATGTTATTTTATGTAAAGATGCAATTAGACTCTCCTACTACTCTGACAGCATGAATCACGTGAGTTATTGGCGCGAATTGAGCGGACGTGAATTCGTGAGAGTTGAAAATATCTCAACTTGAGCGGACATTTGCGTCGCGATAACCAATCAGCACAAAGGTTCCTGAGTGACGTATAAAAACGGATGGTTGTTCACTGGTATCTAAAATGGAGGACAAACTGATGTTGTGGCTATGTGGGTGGGTCTTCTGAATTATATGAAACTTATTCTTTTAATTACCGAAACCGGAATAAAAAGAAGCTGGTCTGGAGGAAAGTGAGTTTGTGTATCACTTGATTCACTTAATGAATTGGCAGGGATGACCGCTAAATTTAGCATAAACGGCTACTCGCTTAATTCGCGTTAAAGTAAATACTTGTCATTCACGCGTCTACATTCGCGCAAATTAAGCGAGTAGATGATTTCACTCGCGCTTGGTGTGAATGCCCCATAAGCGTACAAGGAAGTCAGAGGCTCCAAACTCGCTTGCCTCAGAACACAATGTCATAGATAATCAGGACTTCAGCAAAATACCTGTCAGGAAAAACTTCACTTTTATGACACTTTGGAGTCCAACTTTTATCTTTGTTTTGTCTCACAAAATGTGAACCCTCTTTTTTTTTTTCTTAAAAGACATTTCTGACATCACACTTTGGCTTCAGGCTGGAAAAGGTTGCCTTGCTCTGACTCTCAGCTGGGCCCTGGTCTTCATTAGGGCCACTTCTGGAGCAGCCAACGCCAGTGTCTGAGCTGTCCCACTAGCTTAAATAATATGGACGGTTCATATTAAGATCACTTTGAATCTTTCTGTGTTGTACAATGATTACTCTTTGTGTAAAGGCTGGACCCAAAACCATAACTTTAAAAACATTACCCACCACCACAAGGCAAAGTCATTACGCTGGTGTTTCATTTATCATAACCATACTCTGTGTTTAACATTGTTGTCAGCCTCAGTTCCATGTATAGTCTCCTCAAACATGCCTTGAAGAGGAGAGACTTCAGTAAAGCCACGGAACATGTGTTTTTCTGACTTTGTCCAGGAAATCTTCTGACGCAGTTGTCTTTACAAGAGACTTTCTCCAGTATCTATATATCTTCTCTCCCATTAAATTCATCTTCTATGGAAACTATGCGCAGTGTGTTGCTAGGGAAATGGCTGTGGTCAGACCATAGTCCTTGAAAGAGAGAAGCAGAGGAAAGAAACAGGAAGACGGAAGCGGGACAGAGGGAAAAAAAACAGAAAAGTAAGTAAGACTTGTTCTAGATTTGAATAATTCACCTTTGTATGCATGCACGTATGTGTCTGTGCATGAACATACATGAAGACACACATGCAAAAACATGCATGAAGAGTGCTCCAGCTGAGGAACTGTGTGCAATAATTTGCTGGTGGGAATGTGCCACTGCACGTTAATTCTCCCTTCACGCTTGCGTTGAGGAACACAGAGCCTCTAATTGATGCTAAACAAACTGCTGACCCAGACTCAGGATGAAGGTCTGTCACTGATGCACACACACAAACACACACCGCTACACAAACTACAAAACGCACTATTCACAAAAAAAGAGAATATTCACAACTCTAGCTGAACAAATTGAATGTTTCCTTAACTGTCAGACACTTTTTGTGAGCTCTCTAAGAGGCTTAAAGGTGCAGGGCAGCACAGGCACCAGCATGAGGCACCTAGGTGGGCAATCTGCAGTGCCCTTGGCTTTCTAGAGGTACATTTGGAGTGTTTGGTCTGTGTGTGTGGGAGTGTGCGTGTGTGTGTATGCACGCCTGTGTTAGGAGAACTTACTGCAGGGTAGGGGGGGAGCTGAAAAGGTAAACTACTACTCATCCTTGTCTCGCACAAACACAAGCATACACACACTCACACACCGGCCCCTAAAGGAAGCTCCAGGGAGGCACAACGGCGCCTTTGTGCGGGCCAGATTTCCCATGTCTCCTTGCTCCAGCACACAGATAGATCATCTCAGTGTAGCCTGCTGCATGAAGGGCAAGTGCATGCACGCCGTGCAGCAGGAGGAAAAGAGGGAGGGAGAAGGAAGGTGGGAAAGAAATTATAAGCCAAACCACTTCTTCTTTACTTTCTTTTTTCACACTTTCCCTTCGTCTTGCATGTCTTTCTCTCGTTCCCCCTTCATCCCCTCTTCTCTTTCTCTCTCTCTCTCTCTCTCCTTCTCTCACACACTCTCTCCGCAGAGGAATCCAGCCTCTCTCCATTGGGATTGGAGCTCTTTGAAGGTGATCCAGAACTGTACTGCGTGCTGCCTGTGCTCTCCTCCCCCTCCTACCCTCCACCCTCCGCTCACCCCTCAGCCCTCAGGGGGCCTGGATCCTGCTCAACAGAGAGCAGCCGTGCTCCAAATCCAGCGCCAGGCTTAGTGTTCCTGCCGCAGGCCTCGCTTGCTGTCCCTCTGCACCACACAGAGGTGGGAGGCCCTGGGAGGAGAAATGACAGAGAGGTGGGGGGGTAAGAGGTGTGTTTGGTCACATTTAGTGGGGACACAAAGATCCAGAAAAGTGATGCTGCTCTTCATTATCTCCTTCACATGACAAACTCTTTTCCCTTTCATTTCATTTCACACATTGCCTCCTTTTATCCATCTTATTCCCCCTCTTATTCCCCCTCAATCCCAAGCTCTCCTAACACTCGTCAGACTGGTTTCTTTGGCACACCTTGAGCACACAAACACAGACTAGGGTGCCAACATTCGCTCAGACACATGCCTCTTTACTTTATTAGAGGGCCCTCTACTCAGTGCCTCAGAGAATGACAAACAGACAGACGATAGACGGGGTAAAAGAGGCAGAGAAAGAGAGAGAGAGTGAATCTGGGAGATGTGCATTCCTTCGGTTCGCCTGGCTCAGGAGCACAGGAGACGTGTTGCTGGCTGTTCGGTTTATTATCCCCAAGCCATATGGGTTGGCAGGCTTTCGGGGTGTGGTAGGATACACTTGTGTGTCTGTGTGTGTCGGGGTAAGTCAGAGAGGGAGATTATACGTACATTAGCTCTTTTATCACCTACACAAAATGTTTCTGTGTGTGTTCCAGGCCACAATAACCTGTGGAACCACACTGTCAGATTACTGCTTTCTATAAAACATAAAATGCTTCCACTCGCTCTTACCCTTCCCAAACAATCCCACATATTCACACACAAGCTCATTTACACAAGACGGTTATTTAAACTGGCTGTAATGTGAATGCAAAGTCAATTGTTTGAAACTTAATTGTTCTCACATGATGTAATGGTGCCATGTGGGTGTGTTTTGAAAACTCATGTCATAGTTGTGGTTATAGTTGATATCAGTTATAATTAATACTGTACTTATTTAAGTAACTTTTGGTAGATGGAAACAGAAATATCACTGGAGTCCAGTGGGCTTTAGTATCTTTAGAGTTGGGGAATAGATTGCAACTGATTGGATTTACTTGATGTCCAAGGCTGGGTGTAAGTTGCACAAAGTCAATTTTGAGAGTTTTTTGGGTCACCTTTTACGCGCTTCTAAATAAGTCCACGTGACACAAACTCGAAACTTGCGTACAAAACCTCAGACATTTGAAGGGTTTTATGAACTTCCCCGGACAAAGCCGTACAAACCCAGACAGACCCCCAAAAAGAGGACGTGTCTGAGTAAAAGAGGACATGTCTGAGTAAAAGAGGACGTATGGTCACCCTACACAATATCATCATTTTTAGTTCTCTGCTCTTTAAAACAACACTTTTTGAGGGTCTTTTGACAACAAATGTAGAAAATTTGACATCTATAATACACTGTCATTCCAATTCAAGTACTCTACACCATCCTTGCATAAGTAGATAACAGCAATTACAGTGAGAGACAAATAATCCTGGATAATTTTGTCTTTTAAAACAAGAGAAAATGTTAATTAGCATAAAGGATCAAATGCAAACTTTGATATAAAAAAAATAGAAAGAAATGTTAAATAGATGAAACTATCCTCTGTTTCCCCCTTTCAATATCCAAACACTTTATTTCAATCAGAACTGCCTGCAGTCAAAAAAAGACTACTGTGGTTAACTTGAGGCTCTTACAGGATTTGTTTCAAGCAAGGTAAAACTTCTAGTCTACTGCATGCAACATAAATTTGCTCTACATGAATAAAAATATGTGACTTGAAGCATTTAGGTCAGATTAAATTACATCCATAATCTATCCCGACCTAAATAAAGTAATTTTGTTTTGCCCGCTACACCTCCATCCCCTCCCTTTGTGGTTTTCTCTATAAAACAAAAACAAAAAATGCTTACATGCAAAAGTAACAGGCAGCAAATTTGATTTCCATCAAAACTTTAATGAGGAAAGAGTTTGGCAAAATATAAATGCAGTTCCTGGGAGAGACAATATGGTTCAAAGATCTGGGCAATTAACATTGTTATTATTCCCGTTAGGAATGGTTGCTAAAGCTATAGGAATAAGACTCAAGTTGTCATAATTCAACCATTCTTTGAATTTACGAGCCAATCAGCACACCTATAAGCAGATTTCTGTATGGTCTGCACTCCTCAGATATACTCTCTGTCCACGGAAATTCTTCTGACTCTGTTACTTTCATCTTAATCACCTCTCTCTGGTTTCTCCCTGTTCTGCCCCTTCAACGTCACAGGGGTCAGCGGCACTGTGCATACTCTGTGTGTGACTGCTGCTGAAGGTGTGTGTTCCTTTGTGAGTGTCTGTGTGTGTGGGGAAGGAGCAAGCTATCTATAGCCTGTGTATCCCTGGGGATTTGAGTCTTAAACTCCATATTCATGACACATCACTGTGGGGATTAGAAGGGCATCATCAGATAGAGGGGCTTACGTCAGCGGGCACACAGACACACACACACACACACACACACACACACACACACACACACGCAACCTCACACTCAGACAATATCATACACAGACACACTCTCAGCTGCAGTCTCACTCTGGAAAGCACAGAATTTACACTTTCCAGGAAGATTTTTATTTATTTGACGAACAGTCATGTGCAAAGTTTTACTACTCAAGGACTCTGCTTTTTTGTGTGTAGCACTTTATAGATCAATAGTTAGCATCCAAGACAAACACGTTATTAAAGACACCTCTTGTCTTCTCTTATGCCATCACTTCCAGTGGATTTCTGTTCTTAGATGTTAAATGAAACGTGTAAAATATGAATGGAACAATATTAAAGAGCCATGAAATACTCTACTCCCACTGTGCATTTAAATTGCAAACCTTTCCATAAGCCTGAAAGAGTGCAGCTTTTACTTATTAAAGTGCTCTACTCCTAATTTCAGTTCTATGCTCGGATAAAACAGTTGAAAACAGACAGAGGGAATAACTATTTCAAAGTACACTGACTTCGAGATCAGGACTGACACACACACACACACACACACACACACACACACACACACGCACCAATGATAAAGGCGATGGTTGGTTTGTGGAAAGTTGGGAACAGCCCCAAAGTCAACAGTCTCAAAACACAACATTAAGTAGGGCTGGGCGATAAACCGAAAATTTACCTACACTGAAATTTACAACAATAACCAACGTCATTTTGCACGTGTCGGTATATTCAGTGTAAAGTAAATAAATTAAAGTTGGTTTTGGATGTGCGTAGGTAGGCTTTGGTCTCATGTACCTTTAATACAGTGTCCTACGTCAGAGGCGTGACTCCACCCCATTTAGTCCATAACAAGAGTCCTTAAGAGTGGCAAAATAATTGCAATAAATGGGTCCAGGGAAGTCATAATATCAATTTAACGGCCACAGCCCCATCTATTGGCTTAACTTTTTTTGCATAGGGGGCGCGGTGTAGTAGTTATCGTCCATTCATCGTTAAGGAGGTGTAACTCTCAATATATTGTGATATTGATTTGAGGCCATATCGCCCCACCCTAACGTTAAGGTACAGCTAACTGGTCAGGTGACCATTTTCACCTTAAAAATCTGATTTTAAAAATCTAAAACAACATCAATGACTCATTATTATCAGGATTTGTTAAATACTTGGCTCTGATTGGTTAAAACCCCATGAAAACAGTAATTAAGTTTCAACTTTATAACAAGGACAAGCCAGTCTAGCATGTCAGATCACATCTGCTGAAATAATTCTGACGTGTTCTACTTCTGCCTGTTAACACTGCGGCAAAAATATTAGTTTCTAACACAATGGGTAAAAGCACAGGAGAAAAACAACATTACAGATTGTGACATTTGCTTCTTATATGTTAAAAGGTGTGACTGCTGGATGAAGACAGGCATGGTGGTGGTGCGGTTTACCTTGTCTGTGATTTTAACAAAAAAGGAGGCAAATCTTTTAACCTACATGTAGATTGAAATCTCAAGTTCAATGTTGATTCGTCCCACAATTAGGCTGATAAGAAACCATTACCACAGAAGCCCCAGACCACATAAGAGAGATTTTTCTTTAGATTCGGATGAGCAGATAAATCATTTTTAAGACAAGAGAATCATCCTTAAAATCAGTGTAAAGTGAGCAAGTGGTTATGGGATTAGAAGTCCTTCAAGGTGAGACAACACCTTCTGCTCACTTTGTCAGGATTGTCATTTGCTCTTTATGATAACAAAGAGCAGCCAGTTTGACTTAGACATACATTTGCAAAGCCATTTAACAACACACTCTGTAAAGTTTTACACTTCAGTGTCTATTTAACAGGGTTAATATTTCGAATTACACTAAGTTTGATGGTTAACGATGCAGAAAAGGTCAGGTATTTTAGGAGAATTTGAGAAGATGTTGAAATAATCTAAGCAGAACACACAGGGAATCATTGGTGTTGTTTTAAATGCAGTGATATTGAGACTTCCTGACTGATTGAAAGCTGACAAAAAGAAGATACCTGAAGCATTTGTTTTGGCAGAGCAGCTAGAATCACTGCCCTGAATCACTAAATACAAAAGTTCAGTGTTAATTCGACTGTAATCTGATTATTTCAAACTAATAATTTCTGGTATTCAGGCTAAAACTGCCAATTTAAACACTTTGAGTTGGATCTCAGGGTGAAAATTGTTGAGATGAGCACAAAAATGTGTTAGGTGAAGGACTCGGTTGTCTAAGGCCAAACCATGTGGAAGCTGATCTGCAGGGGAGGTCGAGAAGGAGGGGGTGTTAGCACAGGCGGCATGGATCTGTGTACTGATTGTTTGTCCATTATTGTGTGTTGTAGAGAGAGTGTGTGTTTGTTCTTATCTCCTCTGGCCCACAGCAGCAGGAGCATCAGAGGAAGTGTGGCCTTTCCTTCCTGTGCCTTTCACACTGTCACAATGTACAGGAGCCATGAAACACCATCCAACCTACAGCGAAAGAGGGAAGAGAGGAGGGGGTGGTCTGCTTGTAAATGCAGAGCATGTGTGTATGTTTCATGCTGTGCAGCATTTCCAATCAATAGAACTTCCCTTTTCTGTGTGGTGCAGAGTTGTTCTCTACCGGGGGTGAAATGAGGTGAAGTTTGGGACAAGACAGAGGAACAGCTGAGGTGACGGAGGATGAGATTCAGCCCATGAAGCAGTAGCAGAGGGGACTGGGACAGTAGAGGAATGGGCTGGTGTCCTCCACGTGGGAGCTGATGAAGGACATACATTCTGCACCTGGCGCTGGGCTCTGGCAGGGAGCCACTACCCCCCTCCCCTGTTTCAGCCTGTGCTATCCATCTTATCTCCACAGCACCTAAGTTCTCCCTCAGTCCTCCCTCACTGACAGAAATATTATCAGTTACAGGATGGTTTTAACACTCAAGACCCACTTACGAATGTAGTTGCATAAAAATATAAGAGCATGTGTGTATAACCAAAAAACGATGGTAAAATTCGAACAAATATGTTTGCATTTATATTTGTTGTTATGTACTTTTCTTTAACGCAGATTATCAAGATCTGATGCGACAAGACTGGAGATGCCTTTTATTTACAAGGTGACAGGGCTAGCTTAAGTTTTTGATCTGTTGCACCCCCTTAATCCTCAAGCTCAGTTCAACTGTTAGCATTTTTTACAGATATTGCTGAGAAATATATGTCACTTTTTGAAATGAAGAGCTGTATCAACTCTTTACCTAACCTCCAAAAAGCCGCTCCAGTTTTTCTTCAATGATGCTTTAAAATCTAGGAAATGTAAGATCTGTTTTTTTAAGGATCACTCTAATAAAAAAGTGATTGTAATTGTCTTCCCATTTGCAGCAACCGAAGCAAAGTCACTGCACTGGTAGGGTGCCAGTGTTACCACAGATTGCCTTTACCATGAATCTGCATAGACAACCTCCAGCTGCAGATTCTGCCTGTTTGGGTTTCAGTGGTAAAAAGTCAAATAAACAAAATTAATGTTTAAAAACTTGTTAGGAGCACATGTCAAACTCCATTCCAATCATCTGGCACTTGTCTGTTCTGGATCAGTGTAACCTCGTGTTCAAACAAGGTTTTCTCTGCGTATAAGCTGCAAACTATGACACTTCTGGCAGAGTTTTGTAGCAATGTGCGGCACAGTCCTACAAAAGGAACAAATCAACACTGAGGACATTGTTACATGAATGGCCAATGAAATTTCTACTGAATATCTACAAGGATTATTTTTAGGCTTTTCATATAAAGAGGGGTCAAGCTCTCAGATACTTGTGTGATAAATGTCCTAAAATAGGGCTGGGTGATATGGCTTCACATCAATATCACAATATATTGAGTAGTTCACCTCGATAATGATAAATGGACGATAACTACTCCACAAGCTGCTCACCCCCTCCCACATCAACCTTGTCTACTTCAGCTGCTACAACTTTTGAACCGTCCTCCATCTCCTCGCCTGTCCTTCCCTCTTTGTTATGGACTGGATGGGGTGGGGTCACGTCTTAAAGTGACATGAGACCATAGCCTACCTACACACATCCAAAACCTACTTTTGTTTATCTATTTTTTTGACACCAAATATACCGATATGGGCAAAATGACATTGGTTTCTGTAAATTTTTGGTTAATCGCCCAGCCCTATCCTAAAACACAAATAAAAGTATCTTAATAGATCCATTATGAAGGGGTGATGGGATGCTGAGCAGTTAAAAACACAATGCTTATTAATGCACAAAAAGTGCACTCTACACTGTTTTATAAGAAAAGATTGTTTTTACCAAAACACTTGCACAACATGTGTAAACTCTATATATAAAACTGTGGGACATGAGCAATAAAGGTTCTTGCAGGTGGTGTTGTGCAGCATACACACACACTCACAGGTGCAAACACGCTCACTCTGTTTCCATAGAGTACCGTGGTGGGAACGGTGCCAAACCAACACTTCATTTCAATTTCAAATCCGAGGCCTGACTTTGACCTTTCAACACAAAACTAGTTATAGACTCACTTCAGCTCCTCTCTCTTTCCACACGTCTGTTATGTTGCTTGTCAACACACACTCCTCGCCCTCATCTCACCAAGGATTTCAATCCTATTTCTGCTTCTTACAGCTCTGCTTGAGTGTATACCCCTCAAACCTCATCTTCTTATTTCCCTAAACCTGAGAAGTAAACATATGTGACTCTTCTAACTCATCCTTGGGTACTTCCTGTTTCCTGAGATCTTGGAGTGCGGCTTCCTGTCTTTGCCGGTTCTGTGGAATGTCACCTTTCATCATTCGGGGACACTGACACATCTGTCGCCAGAAAAATGTGTGAGCATTTCTCTCTGCTGTTTAACTGTCAACACTGATTGTGTGAAAGAAAGGGAGAAAAAAGAGGTATGAGAGAAAGTGAGAAAAGTGAGAAAAAAGGGTGTTGGCAGAGGAGGAGTCTGGAAACTAAGGGGACACCATTAATTATATTTGTTTACTTGTGTACGAGTTTTTTTTCTTCATAAATGCCACTAATAATGGCAAACGTTAAAGAAAACTTTATCTATTTCAGGATGTGAAAGTGACATAACTGGTGATGTAAGCCCAACAGTAGTATCACAGAATGAGATTTACAATCATTTCTCACTCCATCCTGCAAAGTTTTCTCATCACCAAATGGCAGTTACACAACTCCAGTGATGCGGAGGGAGTGTGTGTGTTGCTCATATTCAGAGGAAGGGCGTGTGAGTGTAAAATAAACCAAAAACTACACCAAAGGAAGAGAGATGGAGGGAGGAGGAAAAAAAAAGAGCTGGAGGAAAGTAGGAGATGGGGAGGTGGTGGGGGGGTACCCAAGCGGGTGTTCCAAAAACCTGTCAAGGTATTTCCTTCTGCAAACACAGAATTTGTGGGACTGTATGGAGAACGGTGCTGAAACACACACACACACACACACTCACACACCAGATCCAGCATATTACACTAAAAATACACAGCGGTGGTCAACAGTACAATTTTGATTCAACACATTCTTTGATTGGGTAGGTTCAAGGCCGACTCCTGTTTCACTGTGCAGCAGAGTCCGCCATGCACAGCTGTGTGAACACTCTCCTAAAAACACACTTAATGAGCCATCCAAAACCCCCAAAAAGCTCCTCATACTGTGAACTCCCCTGCTTGAATCCATATCAGTGTGAATCTTGTGGTCTAACAGCCTTGATCCAGATACATTCAGTCATCCACATGCAGACATCTGCGAGCACACACATTTCCACCATTTGGTCAGCATCTCCTTGCTCCTGATTCTACCATACATACACTCACATACAGATCTGTGTATCACTACTCTCCTTTACTCAAACCAATGAGTTTACATAGCCTGCTCGACCAACACAGGGAGAGAGAAAGAGTAGAGTGCGGTGGAGTGGATGGTGAAGCAGGGCTGCTCTTCTGAGGGGACTTTCCTTTTCTCACAGGAAATTGTTAAAAGAAAAAAAAAAGGGAGAAACCAGGAGCAGAAGAAGGGAGAGCAGGGTTAAAATAAACCAGACAACAAACCAGATCATATGAAAATGATAGCTGAGGAGAGAGCAAGTCATTCATAAGGAGAAGACAGCGGTGATGGTGGGAGTGAAAAAAAGGTCATTCTCTCCCGTGGAAACATCCGTCCTGCTGTTCAGTTAAGTCATGAGACAGCCAGCGCAGGATTGGGAATCACTATGTCCTCTCCCCCCGCTGCTGCAGGTTAGATCACAGATTAGACTGTGAGGAATACCTACAGGCTATTACAGTGGAGAGGGAACATTTTACATATTGACTTCACCTGTGGTTGTTGACTCACAGGTTTACGCTCAGTCTGGATTGTGTTCTCACTGCGGCAAGAGTCTCAACCTTTTAGAAATAATTATTGACACAAATCTGTGAATGGGAACAGTTCTCAATTCTGCATTTTAATATGATACAATACGATACAAGACAATAGGAAACTACATGATACATATATTGGATGCCAAAAAATGATATGAGTAGTAAATAAATTATTTTTTATAATTAAGATTATCTAGAGGTCTGATTGGTTCACACATTTCATTCTTACGGCTAATTTAAATGACTAATAGAAAATTTTGAATTTCTCATGATAACCTACTTTTTCCAGAATCATGAGTGTAATATATTCTTATATATTGTTTAAGATAGTATCTGTCTGTTTAGTATACATTAACCCATGTTTCTTCCATGAGTCACTTAAGTGCAGTTGTCCTCTGGTCATAGATGGGGTTAACGTAGCGTCTTACCCCGGCCGTCTGTCTAGACTCCAATGAGTGTGTGTGTCCGTGTTTCTTGTCTGATGATGGTGCTGGTGGTGTAAACAACCATGAATCACTAAATATTGATTTAAAGCTGCTAATTACTCCAGAGTACCCTCAGGTGAGGACAGCAAGAGTGAAAAACTAGCTTTCAGACTGATTCCGACCCTCTTCGTCTCCCTGGTTCTTTGATTTTGCCATAAGCTGTCCTGTCGTTCAGGCATGTGCGGATTGCGATTTGATGCTGTTCATGCAGCATCCTTATAAAACCCCATAAAATCCATCATATTTTTTGCTCATATTGACCATTTTTACACTTTTTTAACTAAAGTGGAGTCAAGTTAAACATAAGCTAAAAAAAGGCAACACTTTCAATTGTTGGCAAAGCTCGCGTCAAAAACCAAAGACTAAGTTAGAGTTTACATTTAGATTAAGTTTTGATGCTGGTTTTGGTCCCAGGCTGTGTAAGGTTGAGGCAGGTGTGAGTTTTTAAGAGCATGACCTGAGTAGGACCCTGTACATCCCCTGCCTACTATGTGTTATCATCACTTCCTTTATGGTTTTCTAGAAAGGGGGGCCCGAGGGTAAGTCCTGTCCACCTCTTACTGGAAGGCACTCCCCCCCGATTCCCCACCTCCTCCTTTAAACAAGACTCACTCCATCCTCCACAGGCCTGTAATGCTTCCATGTTATTTTTTATACTGTATATATAATGGTCTACTCTACCCTCTGTTTGTTTTCTGTACATAAGCAGTGTGAGGGGCCTCTTTGCTGCTTATTTAACCTGTGATGAGGATAAAAATCAGGGGCCATGCTCTGTTCTCGTCTGACCCATGAGAGGGCATACAAGGCGAATACACACTCGCAAAGGATGACATTAAAGAATGAGGGAAAGTGAGAGTCTGAGAGCGAGCGAGGGATGCGACGTATAATTGTGCTCTAATGAAATATAAACAGTGCCGTCTGAGGGAGTGTGTCTGGGCAGGGCCCCTGGCTGGCCTAAAGGCTCTGCTCTCCTAGGCTCTTAATTATGACTGAGGAGGTCAGTCATGCCTCCTGTAACCCGCCGCCAAATACTCTAAGTATTGTAAATATTGTGTTTGTGTGTTTGCGTATCTCTCTGCGAGTCTGTGTGTTTATGCGAGCTGTGTGCGTCAGAGAAAAATACAGAGAACGTGAACTTCGCGGGAACCAACTGCTCCCGGTGTTCTCCTGTCTGTTTTCACTCCCCACTGTACAATGGTGAACCTAATTGGGGATGCCCACCTGTTTTTGTAACACTCAATGGTGGTCACATTCAGCTGGTCTACTGTCTCTTTTATGGCCCTTTCTTTCGCTTGAGTCTTTGTAGTGACGCAGTTGTCGCACAGCCCTGTTCCACGTGGTGTAGCACTTGTCTCAGAGCATACCTTTTACAGAGCCCCTTGTTTTCTGGCATATTCTGTAGGACCTCACACTTTAATCCAACTCCAAATACGCGACTCAGCTGTTTTATTATTCTCAAATAGAGTTACAACCAAGAAATATATGTTTGAGTTTCTTCTGTGACCCGAAGCAGGTCTGTGTCCACACCGCCTGCATATGTGGGAATCTGATTTGCGGCCAAGCTAGGTTTAACTAACAGGAGGGTATTCCCAGCCAAACAGTCTGGCCACAGAACCCAGACTAACTAACCTCAGTGTCTGGGTGGCTGGTCTGAACCTTGCCGTCAAAGTCTTAATCAGCCAGCACATTACACACTATTATGGTTACCGCAAGGGAGGGAGGGGGAGAGAGCATGAGAAAGATCAACACAGAAGGAATTCAATTGTTGAAAAAGTTGAAGTTTTACGAGTGAAGGCATTTTTTTTTCCTCGTAATATATCTGTCTTGTAAAGTGGAAAGAGGAAAACATCATTTAGACAACTGTTTTCTCTTGTCTCTTCACTTTCTCGTACTCGCTCTCTCTTCTCTGCTTCTGTTGTTTCTCTTCTCTTTGAATAGACAGGTGAGACATTAGCACCACAGTCAGGGAGTCCTGACCTCTGACCTTCCCTCTTTAACCTTGGATCATCAGCTGGGTTTCTCTGGGTGGCTGAATCAGTTGACCTGACCTCAACCCTAACAGTGACCTCAGGTCACTGCCAGTTGTTATTTGACTGCAACGGTAGACCACAAGCCCCGGGAAAAA